TACGGGGCTGCTTTCAAATTAAATGAGTGAATTGAAGCCCATATTTTACTAAATTCTGCCACTGCTAATTCATCCAGTAGTCTCAAACTTCTCTGGAAACAGACAAAAATCAATGATCCTAATATGGTTTCAATTATCAAACCACCTAAGAAGTGGCAATAATAATCCGAAAGAGTTCTTGCTGCCAATTAAGATATTTTTAGACTCCGGTTGAACAGTAGCTTCTAGCAGTACCATAGCTAAGAAAACTGGCAGATGCTGCAAGCCCATGTTTTACTTTTATTTACGGCAATATTGTTAAAAATCCTAGTTTGCAAAATGAAAAAAAGAGCGCGCATGAGAGAACGCTCCTTAAATCCAGACCCTTTTAAGCTCAGAATTGCTCAGTTTAATGCACAGGATCACATGAATGCTATTCCTGTCCAAAAACTTCATTCTATGTGACAGCTACACTGGCACACTGTTGACACTGCCCTTACCCAGCAAAGTGAGGCACAAAAAGAATCTCTTCAACAAGGAGGCTAAATTAGGTCCCGGTCACATGCAGAATTAGCCGAGCGATAGGGATGAATCCCAGGCGGATTTTGAGGGTGCGATCACACAAAAACATCTGGCAAGTGTCCCGCACCTGTCGGCAACCCATATTGCCCCGCCGAAGATGCGGAGTAAAAAGATACCGGGGAAAGTGCACTACTTTCCGGAAAACGTGCAGCGCAGGCAGGCGTCTGATTGCGGAAGCGCTGGTATCCCATCGCATCCGGCACCCATCTGCGTCCCACCGGATTTTTTTTATGCCTCCGTGGTATGCGCGCAAACGCGGAACTGCACATGTGCACAAATGCGTTACTCGCTCTTCTTTGCCACACTTCACCATCAACGTGTGATCCGCGGCTGACGCCTGAGCATGGAGTCTCGGGGGAGCGTCTGATCGTGATACCGTGCTTCATTGTGCTCCGGAGCAGAAAGTCTCGCTTCCCCCCCCAGATTATCTTGCTCGTATGACCTGGGCCTTAGTTTCACCAGGACTCTGCATGCCCAGGTCTTTTGGAACCAGAAGTTCTTTTTTCACCATTGCATCTTTCACTTTATTTACTTCCATGAGGATTGTAGAAATATAAAAGGCAACCCTTTATTAAATCAAGACTTCATGGAAATCATCTTCACTGCTCCTCTAAGAAGACCCAGGTCTTTTGGAACCAGAAGTTCTTTTTTCACCATTGCATCTTTCACTTTATTTACTTCCATGAGGATTGTAGAAATATAAAAGGCAACCCTTTATTAAATCAAGACTTCATGGAAATCATCTTCACTGCTCCTCTAAGAGCTAGGACAATCGTTTTCAGTTTACAAGTAAAAAACTGACGCTGAGCATACGTAGCTTGTTCAAAGCCCTCTACCAAATCCAAAGCAGAGATTGGCCCAATTCAAACATAATATGATATTATGGTTTAATTAAACCAACCATAGTAAATCTGGCTTCTAAATGCTGGTCATTTACCTCAACGGTGGTTAGTCGAGGTGCACAAAATCATGTTCTGAACTTGGTTTATTGATCAGTGTCTCTTAATAATACTTTTGTGCAGAGGAAATTCTCACTCAGACCTGTCTTTTCTCTCTTGGAGGCTCCAGGCCAGCCCCAGCTACAGAGACGCTTGGCGTAAAAAACTGACGCTGAGAATACGTAGCTTGTTCAAAGCCCTCTACCAAATCCAAAGCAGAGATTGGCCCAATTCAAACATAATATGATATCGTGGTTTAATTAAACCAACCATAGTATATCTGTCTTCTAAATGTCGGTCATTTACCTGAACGGTGGTTAGTCGAGGTACACAAAATCATGTTCTGAACTTGGTTTATTGATCAGTTTCTCTTAATAATACTTTTGTGCAGAGGATATTCTCACTCAGACCTGTCTTTTCTCTCTTGGAGGCTCCAGGCCAGCCCCAGCTACAGAGACGCTTGGCAAGAAAGGCTGAAAATCCAATCAGTTCTTGCTTCTAGTGCTTCCAGCAAGCAGTGCTCCCTGCCCTATTGGTCTTCTTACAGGTGCAGAGGAATGCTGCCGTGCTTCTTCTTTATATGCTGCACGTCAAAGCTTTACTTCTTTCATCACCTAAAGGAAAGATGCAGCAGAGCAAGACTGGGAAGTGGGTCATGCCACCCCCATGCTTGAGGTCCTACTGCTGCTTAACTGTTTAATTAAACTAATGATAACTTATGCCAATAAAAGTATTGTATTTGTATTTGTAAAAAACTAATGATAGTTACCTAGTTCAGGTTCCTTAAACGGGAATCTGGTGGGTTATTAATCACCACAGCTAGTTTTTATTGTGGTTTCACAAGACCTATAAACATCACTGTGTTTAATCCTGGTTTGTTTTCCTGCTGTCATTCCATACCTGCCCCACCTATGGAGTGGGCTTGAAAACAAGACCACTCTAGCCATCAGCCAACTCGTCTCACTAGCATCAAGCCCCTCCCCAGCCTCAGCTCCAAGCCTACAATGTCACACACTTCTTCCCTCTCCTCTTGTCTGTTAAAACTGAAAGGAAAAGGGGAATTTGTCAGGAGAGAGAAGGAAGCACCTCCCAGTCTCTTACCACGGTTCTCTTAACCGTGATTATGTCTCCCTCAGGTCCGTCAAGGAGGACCATGGGCCATGTTGCTACCATTAGCTTAGCAGCTGTGTGTGACCAGTGAGATCCAGCTCTTGGATGCAAAGGAAACTTGGCAGATTTCTCAGATCTATAAAGGTCAATAAGCGGATTGTGAAGCTGAACACTGCAAGTATTTTGTGTATACATCTTGAGTTTCATACAACACCTTGTTTATGCCAGTCTGCTCAGTAGCTTCCAAGCCTTTTGGTTGAAACAGAGAGACAAGTCCTGCTGCTTAGGAAGAAAGACAATGCTTTGTGTGTACTGGAAGTTTTTGACTTGGTCTTTGTAATTAAGATAGATGGTATTTAGTACAGTCGATTCCATGAAACGTAATCGTTTTCCCTCTGCCAGAATTAAAATGATTCAACAGGAAAAGAGGGATTAATGAGGAAGTCACTGAATAGGTCAAGCCTGTGTTCTATTTGATCAGCTTTCTGAAGATTAAGCATTTAACAGTGCAATCCTAAAGAGAGTTACTCCAGTCTAAGCCCACTGAAATGAAGACCATAACTCTCCCCCCTGGACTTAGCTACAGTTATCCATGCAATCGTCATTTCCAGGCTTGATTACTGCAACTTGCTCTATGTGTACTTACCCTTGAGGCTGACCCAGAAATTACAGCTGGTATAAAATGTGGCAGCGCGCCTACTGACATCGACGCCTGTGCGGCCGCCGCACATTTGGCAGGTGTCCCGCCAACTGCATTGGTTGCCAGTTGACTTCCAGATTCATTTCAAGGTGTTGGTAATAACCTTTAAAGCCTTACATGGCCTAGGACCCACATATCTGACGGACCGTCTCTTCTCATATATGCCCCGAAGAATGTTACGCTCTATGGACCAATGTCTCCTGGTTGTCCATGGCCCAAAGGACGTCCATTTTTCCTCGACCAGGGCCAGGGCTTTCTCTGTCCTGGCCCCTGCCTGGTGGAACATGTTTTCCCAGTCAAGATTAGGGCCCCACAGGATCTTCTTCGATTCCGCAGGGCCTGCAAGACAGAGCTGTTCCGCCAGGCTATCCCTAAATGGCCTCCCTGAGGTTGTTTTCACCTACCTACCAACCCAAATAATATGCCAGGGAAACTCCCACAACCAGATGACGTGTCTGAATTGTGACTGTGTGTTAATCTTCACTATTGTTTTAAATTGTTCAAATTTTTAATAGTATTCATTGTATCATCTTATGATGTTACCCACCCTGAGCCTGCTCACGGGATGGGCGGTCTATAAATACAAATAATAAATAAATAATAAATAAATACAAACCTATTCTAGGAGGAAACTGTACAAACATCTTGTGCTGGCTTACTTTTGTCCACATTTGTATGATAGTAACATTTAAACACTGTTTCAAGTAGACTACAAATAAAACAAGTGTATTTCTGTACGCTAATTCAGAACACATGCTTTACTGATAGCTCACCGTTCAAAAGTATGCAAGCGACAAAAACAAATATAATGAGGATTCAGACAACTAAGTTGGAAATTCTTTCTTCGTTCTGGGAGAAGTGTGTGACCCTGCCAATTAATCAGATTTGCACCTGTCACGAATGAACTGCACTTTGTCTGTGATGTCTGAACTAAGACTTGGTCTTTCGTCTTACAAGATACTCACAATTTTAACTGTTTCTTTTGTTCACTAATCTGGTGACCTGTATGAACAAAGTTTGAGTCCAGCGGCACCTTTGAGATGAACAAAGTTTTATCCTGGGTGTAAGCTTCTTCAGAGACACTGAAACAGAAGTCACCAGCCATTTCATATAGGTAGTGGGTGAGGAGGATGTTGACAGGAAGGGCCAGTTAGAGCTAAGACTGCCTTAATCTAATTTTAGCTCTAACTGTCCCCTCCTGGCAACATCCTCCTCACCTGCTGCCTATACATAATGGTTGGTAACCTCTGCTTCAATGTTTCTGAAGAAGTGTGCACGCACACAAAAGCTTAAACCCAGAATAAAACTTCATTGGTCTTAAGGGTGCCACTGGACTCAAACTTTGCTCTGCTGCTTCAGACCAATACGGCTGACCACCTGAATCTATCTAATGATCTATCAGTTAGAAGACATATGCTGACTTCTACAGAGTGTCGTAAAGACTCTTATTTCTTTTACGGTGGCAGTCACGGGGCAGTCACAGGGCAGTCATGGAAGACCGACAAGTCCTATTTGGATTGCTTACCCTTTATGAAGATCACGAGCAACTAAGCTCCTAACTACACGGAGAGAGCAATCAGTAACTATTTCTGCAATCATAAGTCTCGCTTCGCCTCCACTCAGCTAAAGCCATAACAATCTTATTAATGAAGATCATCATTAATCTGGGCTTATGCTACCCAGCTGTTGATTTATGAGAAGAGAATATCTCATTAAGATTTCTGGTGGTTGTAAACTGATGAGGAAAAACTGTTGAAATATCAGAATCCCGCAAAATGAGATTTTTTAAAACAAGGATATACATTGTTTTGGGCTTCACTTTCATTGTGGGATATACGTCGTTTTAATGATTACGACGAAAGAGTAAATGTGCATAAATGTATGCATAGATGCCATTCAAGAATGTTAACAACTGAATATTCAAGTGGTGGAAATCAGGAAGAAGGGCATTTTTCCTACCACAGATCCTCCAACCAAGTTATAACTCTTTACATTTAAAATATATTTATTTCACCAAGCCAGGTTAACTGGCAGTCTCTGTTCAGGGCCAGTGGCTGGACGCTGAGGTCAAGTACCTGAGAGATAACAGGCCACAGTTGAATACAGATGAGACAGTGGCAATGCTGGTCAGCAAGGCAAAGGCTTTGGAGGGTGTATAGAAATATTAACTGGATCGAGCTTCATGTTTCCCCCTTGGAATGTATCTTGCTGAACCCCTGTTGTGTGCATTTCCTCTAGAAGCCAAATGGGCTCAATAGCCTGCCATAAAACATTCCTTCACACGCTGGAAGAGCAGATGCCTAGCTGACATGCAAACAGGCACGTAGTAGGCCTAAGGTGGGTTGGGCTCTGGGGTCATTTGCTGCAGAGGGTGGTCCCCAGACCTAGCCTATCCCCACCCATTACCATGACAACCCAAAAAGTGGAAACGCCCTGTCTCCTTGCGATTGGCTAATGGCCATGGCTGATCATAATGAGATTGGGGTTTAATTGTCTGATCCCTTGGAAGAGAGCTCAGTTTCTTCTCTTGCTCTCTCCTTCATGTTGAATTGTACCTGGGAAAGGCTGTCCCAGGCAGAACAAAGGATTCTTTGGTGCAGCTGAGCACATGGCTGCATACTTGCACAAAGATGGGATTTCTGCTGAAGATCCCGTGGGATCTTGTTGGACTGTATACTTGGACATTCTTGACTATGGATCCTCCTGGTAATTATGCATATCTCTAATGTCTAGTCAGGGCCAAGAGCCATAGGTTTTCTTGTTTTGAATTCTTATTATTCTGATTGCAAGTAACAGCTTCTAACCAGTAAATCTGTCTGCTATAGTGTTTCCAAGAGTATCAGCACTTAAGGGGTGTATACTGGGCTACCTCCTTACACAGAGGTTTCTGGTTTTTGCTTGCACAGGAAATATAGCCTTTCATACAGATTTTTAAGTCATACCAGCAAGAAAAGCACTATTCCAAATAAAGGCAAAATTATGATTACGAATAAAATTATCAAAAAACAACCAAGTCAGTCAGTCTTGGTGTTCAGCTACAAACATCCTAGAAACAAAAAGGTATTTGCTTAAACACATGTGAGAAAGAGGGGGAAAGAGAATGTGGTGTGACTTTACTCACTAGAACAGAATCTGATTAATATTTAGCAGTAGAGATGGGCACGAACCAGAAAAATGTGCTTTAGTTCGTGATTTGTGGCATGCCCCATTTGTGAACCACAGACCGTCATAAACCAGTTCAGTCTGTGAGGCGGAATAACAGCCACCCGGCATGCTAGAGACACCAAACTCACAGAGGATCGCCAGCTGACTCCCCTCTACCTGCCCTCCAAGTTTGGAGAGAATTGGGTTTACAGAGTCCACGTTATGGCTCCCCAAATAAGGTGTCCACAGGAAGAAATTACAGGCTCTTTCCTGGGGGCACCTTCGGGGGGGGGGCATAATTCAGACTCCATAAATGCAAGCCTCACCAAACTTGGAGGACAGGTAGAGGACAGTCATCCAGAGCTCCCCTGCAGGTTTAGTGTGTCTAGCTTGCACAGGAACTGTTCTATACACCCCTGAACCTGCACCTGTCAAAATGACTGCCTCTCAGCTGTCATTTTGACAGGCGCAGGTTTGGGAGTGTACAGAATGGATCCTGTGGAAGCTAGAGTAATCAAACTTGAAGGACATGTAGAGGAGCATCCAGGGGAGGTCTGCTGTGAGTTTGGTGTCTCTAGTTGGCATAGAGTGTATAGAACAGATCCTGCGCAAGGTAGACACACCATAGTCGCAGGGGACCTTGCCCAAATACTTCTCTACATGACCACCAAGCTGTTGCATCAAAGTTATGTAAACATTTTGATTGAGTGAAGACAGTCTGCCTGGAAATGTTTCTGCTCACCAGCCAGCACAAACCTCCGAACGGCTTGAAAGTTCATGGAAAATTCATGCCAGTTGACCTGCCGGTCGAACTTGACTTTGCAAACCATGAACCAGTCAAAATTCATCATGAACTTTAGTTCATGAGCCAGTTCCTGTCCATCCCTACTTAGCAGGGTAAATTCCACATCCACTCACTTATCTGACTCCACTTGGTTTCGCAATCTGCTCCAAGGCATTTTAAGCAGTCTAGTTACTAGTTACTAGACAGTCTTTGAACATGCATAGCAGAAAAACTATTCCATAAGAAAAGAAAAGAAATCTGAGAAATCTCCTTGGAATTCTAACAAAGGGAACCCCATGTGTGCGTGTAATGAATCTAATGGCTATCCCTGACCCAAGGGACATTCACATAGCCTCAGCCCGGGCCAGGGTTTTTTCTGCCCTGGCCCCAGCCTGGTGGAACATGCTCCCGATTGAGATCAGGGCCCTGAGAGGCCTATTTCGTAGGGCCTGCAAAATGGGGCTGTTCCACCAGGCCTCCGGGTAAGGTGGTGGGCGTCCATTTATTGGCCTCCCCGCCCGCAGTTGCTGCAGTTTCTGCAAGTGAGAGACTGCTACTGATAAGATCTTTATAGCTCGGCTGGAGCCCAACTGTTCCTAGCTTAGGTTTGCTGAATATGCAATTGCTGCTATGCCCATTTTTTAACTGTTTTAACTTTTTTATTGCTCAAAATCTACTTTTTATCACTTATTGATTGTAATTTATTGTTGTAACCCACCCTGAGCCCTCTCGCAGGAAGGGCGGGATATAAATCTAAATAAATAAAATACCGAATATAGTTCAACATGAAGAAAAAACTCTTATTGGCCCTACTCCCTGGTTGTGTTTTATGCCTATATGTTTCTACTGAATTGTTTAAATGTACCTTACTATGTAAAATATTGTTTAAAATACACCTTATTTAAAATGATGATTTAATATTTTAAATGTTCAACATCTTGGGGGCTCTGTTCTTATTTAAAGAAATAAAAAAGGAAAAAAAATATTTCTTCAACTCTGTCATTACCAGATCACGTTCACATCTGAAATCCCAAAGGACATGATTTGCTTTTAGAACAGGGGATACCCAACAGAGTGCCCGTGGGCTCCGTGGCGCCCATAGGTCACTTTGCCAGCAGGGCTTCTAATTGGCCATTGGAGATCTGATTAGATCAGCAGATTAAAATAATGTTATTTCAGTGGCTGCTGCCACCGCAGTGTTGGTTTTATTCTCTCACTTCTCTTTATATATATATTACCACTCTTCTCCCCACCACTTGGGCTTCCTTTGTGTGTGTGGCTCAGCTTCCTGTGGTAGCAGTTTTGCACTTGGCTCCACCTCCTATGGAAGCCATTTTGTAGTTGTGCCCATCATCTTGTGTCAGAATTCCAAAGGTGTCCACAGGCTCAAAAAGGTTGGAGACCCCTGTTTTTGAATAAACCAAGGAAGTCTCCTTGATTCTGGAAGACTGTTACAATAATTGTTAGGAAATACTCTTCTAAATCTCCATCCCCTACCAGGTAGTTCCCTTGATATGTCCATGTGTATATGAAAGAGCACACTGTCTTCAGCACAACCTAAAAGCCAGTGTCCAAGTTACACTCTCTATACACCAGATACTGAGCAGAAACCTGCACATGCCCAAGTGTTCATCAAAATAAAGAATCAACCAAATTTTTCTTTCTGCCTCAGTGATGGCTGCTGATCCAAGCAAAGTATTTGCTTCCATTAATGAAGTAGATTCTTCCTAATTACCTTCTAAGAAGATCCAGATGTCTTCTTAAGGTTAACAAGGATGCTATATCCTAGGTACATCTCAACTATCAGATTAGATTGCTCAAACCCAGCTAGCAGTAAAGCACCAGCAGGATTTATGTCACTTACTGGAGTTACTGGAGGAAACTATCTTTTCCCATTCATTCTGTGGCTGTTTCCACATGGGTTATTTGCCCTGGGGTCGATCTTGCTGGGAAGTGGCTTTTTCCCCTTGCTTTCCAACCCCACTGTGGTCCATCTGTGCACTTCCTGAGTTTCCCTCACTTTACTGCTATCTTTTCCAAACCTGCTTTGCCATGAAATTTTGGGAAAGATTGCAGTAAACCTTTGATAGCTGCCACATGGGTGGAAAAGTTTGGATTTTCCTGGTCCTGCCCACATGGTAGCCATTTTTCCTGCCCCTTTCACTGCAGCAGCTATTCCCTCCCGCAGCCACCAGAGTAGTTTTTGCTTGTTTGCTTTTTTAATTGGCAGCTGAATATTGTTATATCACTATAATAATATAACAATACGTCTATCAAGTTCTCTGAATTAATTTTTTTAAAAAGGAAGTTTGGTGTAGTGGTTAAGTTGAGAGGTTATGCCAATAAAGGTCAATTGATTGATAGTGGTTAAGTGCGCAGACTCTAATCTGAGACAACCGGGTTTGATTCCCCACTCCTCCACTTGCACCTGCTGGATGACCTTGGACAAGCCATAGTTCTGGCACAGCTGTTCTTGAAAAAGGGCAGTTTCTGTCAGAGTTCTCTCAGCCCCACCTACAACACAGGGTGTCTGTTGTGGGGAGGGGAAGGGGAAGGGGTTTGTAAGCCACTCTGAGACTCCCTTGGGTAGTGAAGATGTATTTATTTCCACAACGGGTCTCATTTCTAGTACCACTATAATGATATAACAATACGTCTATTAAGTTCTCTGAATTAATTTTTTTTAAAAGGAAGTTTGGTGTAGTGGTTGAGAGGTTATGCCAATAAAGGTCAATTGATTGATAGTGGTTAAGTGTGCGGACTCTAATCTGAGAGAACCGGGTTTGATTCCCCACTCCTCCACTTGCACCTGCTGGATGACCTTGGACAAGCCATAGTTCTGGCACAGCTGTTCTTGAAAAAGGGCAGTTTGTGTCAGAGTTCTCTCAGCCCCACCTACCTCACAGGGTGTCTGTTGTGGGGAGGGGAAGGGAAAGGGGTTTGTAAGCTGCTCTGAGACTCCCTTGGGTAGTGAAGGGTGGGGTATAAATCCAATCTCTTCTTCTTCTTCTATACCCTTCTGTTGTGGAGGTATAATGGGGACCACATAACTGCACAATGAAAGGGGCTAAAGAAATCTGGGAATTCAGGTAGCTTGACATTATAATGTTGCTGATTTAAAAAAACAGGAAAAGCTCTGGTGGTGTATAGGGAAGGGGCACGGCTGGAGGAAGAGGGCAGGGAAACTACAGGGAAGCCTGCCACAGGGAAGCCCCAGTGCTGCTTGCTTTATCATCAGCCACAGCAGCTACAGCAAAACCAGACAAACCTCTCCCCATGTGGAAAAGACCTACAAACACACCTAACACTAGAGGCTCTCTATTTATGGGGAACTAGTCTCTCTTCTTCTTTGATACTAGGATTCCTTTTTCATTATTGCATTTTACAAGCCTGAAAGGGATTTGGCATAATGCTGCAACTACTCAGATTTCTCTTCCAGCACTCTTGATAAGAACACTTTCTGACGGGGAAAATAAGTTTTGGGCTGGCCTCATCACCACACTTAACGCTGTTTCTTTTAATCTCTTTAAAAACATTATTTACAATACTTATGCACTTTCAACAGACCAAAAAAGTTCACACTGAAGTTTACAGCAATTTTAAAATGCAATGTTCTGTTCTAATGTACAGATTATTTTCCCACAACACCTAGCAACCTTTAGCCCATATTATCTCAGTATGAATTTTATTGTCATGAAAATGATTTACTGTAAGAGTCATTCAGCGAGTATTAGCAACAATACAGGATAGCAATCATCTCAGGAGAACTCAATTAAATGTTTCATTCTTTGCTCTAATCAATGGCTTGTACACATTAGAAAGTATTAGCACTGGAACCCTCTTCCCCAGGGACATTAATTTGTCCCTTTCAGTTGCCATCTTCTACCAGTGGGTGATGACTTTTTTTTGCTTTGTTTAACATTTTCTCAGTGATCCCTCCTTCCTGACCAATGTTTTAATTGCTGTTTTTATTTCTTTGTGCATGTTTTAACTCTGTTTTTAATTTGTTTTAACAATGTATATTTGGGGAGGGATGATCTTAACGGTCTTAAAATGTGATTTTATCATGTATGTTTTAAATTGTCAGCCACCTTGGTGGTTCTTGTGAGGGCAGAAAGGTGAGATATACGTTTTGTAAATAAAAATAAATGTTAGGCATATAAATAGCTCACCAGGTGGAACAACCAGAACACATTCATTTATTTACAAGGCTGCCAGGCCCTGGCTGGGGGTGGGTGGTTCTCATAAGAGAAGCCAATGTCGGATCAGGCCAATGGCCCATTCAGTCCAACACTCTGTGTCACACAGTGGCCAAAAATACCAGATGCCATCAGGAGGTCCACCAGTGGGGCCAGGACACTAGAAGCCCTCCCACTGTTGCCCCCCCAAGCACCAAGAATACAAAGCATCACCTGCCCCAGAGTCCCTACTTATTTTATTTATTGTTTCTATTTGTATCCCGCCTTGCCGGACACACTGGCTAATACCTTGTGGCTAATAGCCACTGATGGACCTCTGCTCCATATGCTTATCTAATTCCCTCTTGAAGCCGTCCATGCTTGTAGCCGCCGCCACCACCTCCTGTGGCAGTGAATTCCCACCCCCAGTCACTGATCAGCTGGACGGGGGGGGGGAGATCACGGGCAGCTTGGTGAAGACTAGGCTGGCATTACACCAGTGTCGCCAGCGATGTCACTTCAGGTGTGCACTAGAAGTTACATCATGACATCAGCCTAGCCCCCCCCCGCCAGTAAGCCCCCCTGCCCACAACTGGTTGTCACGAAGAACCTGACAGCCCTATTTATTTAAGTTACATAGAGAATTCATTATAAGCATTACCTGAAGACAACCATTGCAAGGTGGCAGGGAGGACACGCAAGCAGGAAAATCTGGAATACGAAAAACAGATTTAGTCACGATGATGTTTTTGCACAGAGCCTCAGGCAAGTAGCTAAACTTCTTAAAAATAGCTTTCAATAGATCTTCCAGAGCAAAAGTTAGAATTCCCTCAATATTCGATATTTGTAACTTGCAGTCCTTGGTTATTCAAAACATCTGACAACTTTCAAGTTAAATGTGATACAGTATTTGCACTGCATTTAGATTTGGCGAAGTTTACTAACGGAACCAGAATATGCCGTATAATTTTGCTATAGTCACCCCACGAGGAAAATCTGGAAACTATGAAATATGCAATTCACCTGGGGCTATTTCCCCACGAGGAAAATCTGGAAACTATGAAATATGCAATTCACCTGGGGCTTGTTCAGATATTCCTTTCTCCCCATGTTTATTGATTGAGGCACAGAGGGGGGCAGTATACCGAGGAGAACATCCAGTACATCATGCAAGTGTAAACACCTGTGCAGTTAGAGGTCCCTTATCCTTTCAAACACCCAGGTGCAGTCCCAAAATGAACTCTAGCATCCTTTCACAGGGACTGAGAACTGAACCCTGTACAAAAACAACAGGTCTCTCTCTTCTACAACACACCTCTTTCGCCAACCCCTTTGTAACTCCAGTTATACAGTTGCCTGCAAAATGAAGATGCAGTCTGTGCATCTGAGGAAGTGAGGTCTGATTCACAAAAGCATATGCCAGAATACATGCTGTTACTCTTTATGGTTTCACTGGACTTCTGTTTTATTAAGTTTAGAGGCAAAGCTTCCTTATGTGGATGAGTTTGGACAGATAAAGCAGTTTTGTCCCAATTAAATATTTTCTCACTTCTAGTCATGGCATGGGACAAAATAAATAAATAAACCTATCTCCCCACACTGGGAAACTGTTGTCCAGCCAACTGCCACCTGTCATGCTGAGTGACAGCTACTTTCGACATACTGTGATAAAGCTCAATATGTGGAGCAAGTAACTTGTTAGAAAAACACAGAAGAGCTTGAAATATTGTGCAGCCCACAAACAATAAGAGTCAAACTTCTCCCACCCCAAATTTTACCTGCCCATGTTCAAACAGGGCTCTGTGAGGGAGGGGGGGAAATGCAAGCACTAGGCCCCTTCTCTTCTTCCAGAAGCATACAGATTCAGTGAAAGGCAGTGTAGTGATTAGAGCTATGACCTGAGAGATCTGGGTTCAAATACTGCCATGTAGCTCACTGGGTGACCTTGGGGTAGTCACGTACTCTCCACCTAACCAACCTCATGGGGTTGTTATGAAGAAAAAATGTGGAAGAACCAAATGAACTCTTGGAGGCATGGTGATATTTACAAATTTACTTGTTATGGAGACCTACTTGAAAAAACAGAGTAGTCACAAATCATTAAGACTGCAGAAATCTGGGACCCACTTCCAAAAGGCTTTGTGATCCACTTTTGGGTCATGACCTACAAGTTTGGAAATGATGTGTAAGAAAATTCAGGGGAAGGAAATTATCAGTGGTAACCATAAACAATACTGGGTATTGAAAAAGCCGCAATGTTCATACTCTGCAAGAAACGGCATTCACACTGCAAAATGGGGCTGTGGCACATTTGTGTATACTTTCGTCCCAACATGAAACACTACTCCTGTCATGTGTGCAAGAGAGCACATGTGACAGACACAACTCCAAGATGCTTTCGAGTTGGAGTTAAGCATTTATTCTTAGATTTGAGGTTGAATTCTAAGGGCTGGCTTGCGAAGTCATGAAAGAATAACCAAAAACAGATATCTCAAATTGAGAAACAACAACATGGCCAACAGACATGAGATTTTTGTGCAAGATTTTTCAAGGCTCTAAAGCAAAACATTCATCATCTAATGAGTCTGAGGAAATCAAGCTTAAACTTCTATTGGACTGGACAGACTAATTGTCACAAGGTATGAACTGAAACGGCACATCAAATATATCTTATTTGTTCTGCTTCTTAGTTATGCAGCTGGAAAGCTCTTCCAGTAAAAAACAGATATGCAGTTTACTTGTGTTAAACATGAAAGGCAAAGTAGAACAGATTTTGATAACAGTGTTTGATAAAAGCATGCACATTTAGGTCTCGATGCAAGGGCTTCCCATCTTCCCCTTGAGAAAACCCTCCCCAATCAGGTGGAGGATAGAGCTTCTGCTGTGGTTCACAGCAAGGACGATGGGACTGCTTCAGCCCTTAGGGATTTTTTAAGGCTACTGTCAAAGAGAGGCTGCTTAATAGGAGTGTAAACAGTAAATGGTTTGCTATCTGGCACTTCTTTATCCAGAATGCTCAGTTAATCACATAGGCCAGAGTACAAGCCCTTTCTCCTGCCACCATACCCCTGCATTTTCAAGTGCACGCCTCCCGCCCCACTGCCACCTCTGCAGCTGGCCAGCTTGTTGTTTCCAGCCATTACTGAGCTTCTGACAGATCAGCCAGTGCTGTCTGCGGAGGTCATCCTCACGTGCCTCCTTCCCCCTTCTCCTGCCTTGAGTTTTTGAGACCCAGCTCTGCTGAAGGGCTCCTGGGCACCTGGCCCAATTGGGAAAGGGAAGGGTGCTGCCAGGCAAGGGGGCTGTTGCCACAGAGTTCCCAGCAGGGTCAAGTTTGTTCGCTCCAGATTCCTCTTGGTAGGGAGCAGAGCAGAGCAATAAGCTTGAGTATCCAGTACATTTGATTACTCAGCAACCCCCTCCCTGCCCACAGCTCTTCCAACAGCACTAGGTTGGGGCAGGTTAAAAAATATTCTTATCTTGCACCGCACTGTACCAACTGAGTAGCTTCCTTTTTATGTACCTCCAAACCTCACTCTCAGCACTATAGGGCAATTATATTATATTATAATGGTATGCTGCAGAAGATCTGTACTAAGCGACTAGGACAATAAAACAGTGGCACCCAAAAGGCTAACAAAATTAATTCCAGCATACACTTTTAAGAGTCAGAGCACTGAACCCCCGAGCCCTTATTCCTAATTATACATTCCTCCTCCTGCCAGTTCCCTCAAAGACCCTATCTTAAGTAAGCTGCTCTGAGACTCCAAGTGAAGGGCGGGGTATAAATCCCAATCTCCTCCTCTTCCTCTTCTTTTTTCTCACAATACAAGAACTCATGGGCACTCAATGAAATTAATGAGCAGTAGGCTTAGAACCGATCAATGGAAGTACTTCTTCATCCAGAGTAATTACCACGTGGAATTCACTGCCACAGGAAGTGGTGGCAGCTACAAGCATAGACAGCTTCAAGAGGGAATTGAATAAAAATATGGAGCAGAGATCTGTCATTGGCTGTTAGCCACAAGGTATAGATGGAACACTCTGTCCAGAACAGTGAAGCTCTCTATTCTTGGTGCTTGGGGAAGGGCTTCTGGAGTTCTGGCCCCGCTGGTGGACCACCTAATGGCACCTGGGGTTTGGCTACTGTGTGACACAGAGCGTTGGACTGGATAGGCCACTGGCCTGATCCAACATGGCTTCACTTATATTTATATATTCCACAAATTTCCTCAGAGAGTTTATTTTTCTGTCATCATCCACAGCTTGGCAGCTTCCATCTCTGCCTGTCACAGGTGCATCATTGGCATCCTGCTTCAGGACTGGTAGGTATCAACAAGGATGCTTTGGATTCCGGTGCAATTTCTATGCTCAGCTCTTGGCAAGGAGTCTATTTTTTCATATTTCCCCTGTACTGTTTGGGCCTAAGATACAACTAATGGTACTGACTTCAAGGTCTCAGGAGGAAGTTGTCTGTGTGTGAGAGCATAAGTGTCAAGAATGTTTAACCAAAGTACTCGCAACTGCTGAAATGGATAAATTAACTTTAATTTTGAAAGGACATAAAGAGGAAAACTTTGAAAATACATGGTCAAGACTTTACAGTTGGAGTGAAGAATACATTAAATTAAAAGTGAACACAACCGAAACAGGGGACAATGAGAGTATCTATAATAAAATGTGCAAAAGGTATATTTAACATTATAAGATGTAGAAACATACTTTTATTGAGAGATGTATGGTTAACTTAACAGTTAATCAAAGAGTTGTAGATTCTCCCATTGAATGTTTGTATGTGTTATTGTTTTGTTTTTGTTTGACTGTCTTTTTGTTATAAAATAAAAATATTTACCATAAAAAATAATGTTTTCAAAGGTTCAGGGTTGGCATACACAATCATTTCAAGTAGCAAAACTGTTGGCAGAGCTCTGTTTACAATGAAACAATTGTGAGAATACTTCACCACCAGCACCAATCACCCCCACCCCCTTAAAAAAGCTACTGAATGTCACCTGAGCACTGATGTGGTAACAGTAAACTCTGGAACACCCTCCTCACAAAGATTCATCTGTCTCCCTCAATCATTGTCTTCTAACAGTGGGTGAAAACTTCCTGGTTGCGTGTGTGTATCTGTATATTTATATGTTTTTATTATATTGTTAAATATTTATATATACATTTTAAACATTATTGTAATGTTTAAATGTTTTAAAGTCTAAAGGGATTCTATGCCAGTGGAAAGGTGGCATAAAAATGTTTTAAATAAATAAAATAAATAAATGTGGCTCATTTAATAGCAAGCTACATTTGCCTTGCACAAATATATAACCATTTCCCCACAAGTGGTAGGGAAATTCATTCCAAACCTTAACATCACTTCACAATGACTGTGTGAAATGAATAGATGAGAAACAGCTTACAAATAGCCATTTGATCCCATAGCTAGTAAAAGCACCTCCAATAAGCCAGCGTGTAAATTTTTGTAAACTGGAAGATGTTTCTTTAATACCTATTTCAGGCACTGAACATATCACAATATTTAGTATACACATGTGGGCAGGCGGGTAACCTTCATAGGCATGTCTGAAAGGCTACTGTAACCCTGAATAAGACCTGTAAGCACCCGTGCTGCTGCATTTTCGACAAGCTGTAATATCCGGGTCAGCTTCAAGGGTAACCCCACGTAGAGCGAGTTGCAGTAATCCAGCCTA